GAGGGGAGAGAGAGAGAGAGAGAGAAGCACCCTCTATAGGATCTCATCACACTGCAAACCTCTTCCCCAAGTCTTCCAGCTAGTTAAGATCTTGGGATTGGGTGTGCCCAGTGTGTTTCAGGTTGACTCAGAATCAGAACCTGTGGTCAGCTATGTGGCTTCCAGCACTGCATATCAGTACACTGATGCCTGTGCCACCACAGGTGGGCCTGTCTTATTTCTTTTTTTGAGAGGTTTTTGCTATAGGGCGCGTGGGCTTGCCAGACAGACAGAGACAGAGAGACAGAAAGAGAGAAATCACCCCCCGGGGGGGATGGCCATGCCGCAGTCCCTTCTCCTCCATTCTCCTCTTGGGATCTTGGGCACACGCAGACGCGCCCGGCATGAGTTTTATGCCACCAGGTCTGGGACGTGAACCACGGTCGACTACATGGGAGTCCAGCGACATAGCCATTACGCTAACTGCTGGTCCCTCCTTACTTGTTTACTGTCTCCTCTTATGGAGAGCTCAAGAGGACAATAACCTTGTTTGTCTTATTGCTATTTTCCCAACATTCCAACACAAGACTAGATACATAGATTCTTTTTTTTTTTTTTTTTGAGAGGTTTTTGCTATAGGGCACATGAGTTCGCCAGACAGACAGAGAGAGACAGAGAGACAGAAAGAGAGAAATCACCCCCAGGGGGGATGGCCATGCCACAATCCCTTCTCCTCCATTCTCCTCTTGGGATCTTGGGCATGGAAGCACATGCGCCCGGCATGAGTTTTAAGCCACTGGGTCCGGGATGCAAACCACGATCGACTACGTGGGAGTCCAGCGACATTGCCATTATGCTAACTGCTGGTCCCAGATTCTTTTTTTTTTTTTTTTCTTTTTTTTGAGAGAGATTTTTGCTATAGGGTGTGTGCCCTCGCTGGAGAGACAGAGAGACAGAAAGTGAGAGATCACCCCCCCAGGGGGATGACCATACCACAGTTCCTTCCCTTTTCTCCTCCTCTCAGGGTTCTGGACACACACTCACATGCGCCCTGTGTGAATTTCAAGCCGCTGGGTATGGGACTCAAACTGCGGTCGACTACATGGGAGTCTAGCAATGTAACTATCATGCCATCTGCTGATCTCAGATGCATAGGTTCTTTTTTTTCAATTTTATTTATTTATTTAGTAATTAATTTTTAAAAAATTGACCAGAGAGAGAGAGAAAGTGAGAAAGCAAGTCACTAGGTTTAGGACTCAAACTGTGGTTGGCCATGTGGGAGTGTCCAGTGCCCTAACCACCCAACCCTCTGCTGGTCCCAATACATAGGTTCTTTTTTTTTTCCTTTTTTTTTTTTTTTGAGAGGTTTTGGCTGTAGGGTACGTGTGCTCGCCAGAAAGACAGAGACAGGGAGACAGAAAGCGAGAAATCACATCCCCAGGGGGGACGGACATGCCGCAATCCCCTCTCCTCCACTCTCCTCTCGGGATCTTGGGCACACATGCACACGCACCTGGTGTGAGTTTAAGCCACCAGCTCCGGGACTCGAACCACTGTCGACTACATGGGAGTCCAGCGACATAGCCATTACGCTAACTGATGGTCCCATAGATTCTTAATGTGCTTCCAACTAATAAATGAAAGATCAAAATCTGGCATAATGACTGCCTTCCCTTGGGAAAGTCACTGAACTTCTCTGAGCCCGAGTTTTCTTAACAGTGAAATGGAGAAATAACAGAGATGCTATGACTACTAAATAACATAATTCACTTTTACCACTAAACCCAGGTCCTGGTACATGGAAAAACCTTTAGCAGTGTCCTATTTTCTATCACATAAGAAAAATAAAGTCTGAACTAATTAGCCCTCTCCACAGTTTGACCACAGCCTTTTTAAAATACAACTTTTACTTCCTACCGTTCTTATTGATAACTTTCTGCCTAGGCACAAATTATGACTCCCTTGAATGGGTCACATGTATTACTATTCCTAAGTCTTTGTTTAAGACTTGAGATGCTTGCTCTCTTGCCCTTGGCTAAATAAAATCTGACCTTTATTTTCATATGTGGCTCTAACCCATCTTCTCTGTGTCACTGTCCTAAAGCAGAACAAGCAGTAAAGATTATTTTCTCCTAGATTTTGTGTAATATTTGTTGTCTATATTAACCATATGACTCTTATCCTATGTTCTATGATTTTGTCGTTGTATTAATATCTATCTGGTTTCCCTGATTAGACTATTAAGCTCCTTAAAAGATATATTTTAGATTTCTCTGCATCTTCAGTTCTGTTTGGATCTATATATAGTTGGTATTCAGTACATTTTTTTATTCAATTGAATTAAAAGTATATATTTGCTAACTACTTTTTTTCTTTTTCTTTTTCTTTAGAGAGATTTTTGCTATAGAGTGCATGTGCTTGGTGGAGAGACAGAGAGAGACAGAAAGCAAGAAATCACCCTCCGGGGTTGGGGGGTGGCCATGCTGCAATCCTTTCTCCTTCAGTCTCTTCTTGTGATCCGGTGCACGCACGCCCATGTGCCCAGCATGAGTTTCTTTCTTTCTTTTTAAGAGAGATTTTTTTGCTATAGGGTATGTGCACTCACCAGAGAGAGAGAGAGAGAGAGAGACAGACAGACAGAAAACAAGAAATCAACCCCAGTGGGGATGGCTATTCCACAATCCCTTCTCCTCCATTCTCCTCTTGGGATTCTGGGCATGCACACACACGCAACTGGCGTGAATTTTAAACCACCAGGTCCAGAACTCAAACCACAGTCGATCACATGGGAGTCCAGCAATGTAACCATTATGCCATCTGCTGTTCCTAATATTTGCTAACTACTTTCTATGTGCACAGCATTCTTTGAGGCTCTGTGGAGTATAGGGGGAGGGGAGAGGAGGTATAAGAAAAGTAATCATTGGGGACTGGCAGTTGGCATGGTGGTTAAAGGCACTGGACTCACACATGGCTGACCGTGGTTCAAGCCCTGAACCTGGTGGCTTGCTTTCCCTCTCTCTCTCTGACCAAATCGGAAAATAATAACAATAAAGTTAAATAAAATAATTCTCTAACAAAAAAGGGAAAAATAATCATTACCTTCAAAGAACTTACAGTATTGTAGTAGTCAAAAACTAACATATAAATAAAGAGCTAAAATAGCCACGGCATGGTACCTTCTGTAAGAAACATATGAAGTACTATGAGGATGCTGAGGAAGGAGAGGTAAGCACTGTGAGGGGTGTGGGGAGGGTAGAATAAGAGCTTCTTGCAAGAGATGGCCTTTGAGATTGACTTTGAAGGATGGGTAAGATGTTTTCCCCTAAGTTTGTTTGTTTGTTTGTTTATTTGGAGAGAGAGAGAAAAAAAAGAGAGAGAGTGAGAAAGTGAGAGAGAGATGGCAATCCACTTGCAATCTCAGCCAGCGTGCACATACCTGGCATGGTCTAGGAGGTCTCAAGATGGGAAATTAAGACCTTTCCCATGTGGGACCCGTTGTGTTACCACTGTTCCACAACTTGTCTCTAGGATGGTTACGATTTAGACCTGGAAAACTAGTGGGAGGGTGGAATGTGAATTCCAGATTGAAGGGACAGGATTTAGTGAGGAGATGGTCAGAAAGTAGCAATGGTTACTAAAACTCAGAAACTGGACAAGGAGTCTATACTGGGACATGGAAGCACCTGGTTTCCAACTTCAGGATCAGTACAAGTGGTGTTGTATAGAGGTTGAACATGTTCCTCAGGTGTTAGCTTCTTTCAAAATTGAGAATTATTTGCAAGTGATTCTTTTCCCCAGTAATATGAACTCACCTACAGTCTGATATAATAGAGCATGTAAAACAAAAGACTGTTTTCCTTCTCTGGGTGGAAGAGGGTTGGTTGGATTTTAGATGGCTTCTCTCTTTCTCTTTTAAAAATTTTGCCAGAGGGTACATGTGCTCCCTAGGGAGAGACACAGAGAAAGGGAAAGTGAGAAAGCACTCTCCCATGCAGCACGGTCATTCCTTCTTGAGCATTTGACCATGTGGTATCCAGCTGCCTGAATTACCAGGCCACAGGTTGGCCCAGCTAGCCCCTCTTTTAAAAAGCTCAAATCAGGGCCAGCCCATGGTCTGGTGGTTAAGTGAGAAGAATTTCATATGGTCAACTGTGCAGTTTGAGTCTCAGACACCCAGCGGCTTGGAAAACACTCTGAGTGCATGTGTGTGTGTGTGCCCAAAATACTGAAAAGGAGAAAAGGAGAAGAAAGGATTGTGCCATAACTGTCACTCATGGGGAGGGTGGTGGTGCTTTCTCACTTTCCTTTTCTAGCTCTCACTGGTGATTGCACACATTCTTTGGCAATTAAAAAAAAAAAACTGAATGTATTACTCGTGATTTTCTAACCTTGCCTTGTATCAGTAGTTTTGCTGTTAAATATCGATAACATTAATGATATGGCTGAGATGATTAGAAAAGTTGGAAGGGTTTTTGTGGAATTATTTCAGCAATCATTTTTAGCTCAATTCTATCTATGCTTTTTGCTATCTTCTCCCTGAGACTCAGGGAGATCTAATTTGTAGTGAGTCCATGGAAGGAGCCTGATCACTGCCTGCCTGCTTTAAACTCGTTAATCTGGCCACTAGCTCAAGGACTAACCGTTAGTTTTAAAAGATCATTTTCTCTCATCTTCAATAACTTCCTCCTACAATTCTAAAGGATGCTTCCCCAGCATTTAAAAATCATCAGAAGAAATAAAATCACGATAGGCAAACCCGACACTTGCCCGGTTATCAAGGGTCAGGTGCAGCTGCAAATAGATGCACGAGGTTTTCCATTTCTAGCAAGCAGTTGGAAGGACCTTCAGGCCCAGAGGCCCCTGAAGGGAGGGAGACTGTTTCCACGGCAACCAGGCCCCGGAGCGGTTGGTTCCCCGGGGCTCCCTTCTCCTCCTCCTGGTAGCCCAGGGTACCGCCGGACAGCGTCCTTCCGTGCTCCGCGCCCTGATTGGCTGCACAGGCCGCTCGCTGATTGGCTGCGGCGGATGCCTCGCGGGCCGGTGGCTATGGAGGCGGCGGCGCTTGATGGTTGACCGTTGGCTTCAGGGTAGGGGTCGCAGCTCCGGTGATACGCTCAGATCCGACCAGAGTGCGCGGGCCGCTGACGCGCGGCCTCGAGCTGGTGGGGAAGACCTAGCCCGGCTCCGCAATGCCGGCCGGGAGTAACGAGCCGGACAGCGTCCTCAGCTATCAGGTAGGGCCCCGCCTCCCGCCCCTCCCCGGGGCTCAGCCTCCTCATCCTCGGCCCACCCTCCTTCCTTCTGCCCCCGAGCCCGAGCTTCCCAGGCCACTCCCTGAGGGAGAGGGGAGGCACCCCGGGACACCAGGGGGCGCTCCGGGAGGTCGGGGATCTGGCGGGGGCTGCGAGAGGGTGACCTTGGACCGAACTGGGATGCCGGCCCAACTCTGCCGCATCCTTTGCGCCGCGGAGGAGCCCTGGGGGCCGGCGGGCAGCGACCTCTGTTCTCCCCGGGTCTTTTCTGTTGGGAGAGGCCGGCTTCTGGCCTCACGTTGTCCTGCTGGAACGTAGGCGTAAGGATAGCCAGGAACCTTGCTCTGGTGGGAAAGATCTCTGTGTGTGTTTCTGGGGGCTTTTGGCAATGTCTCAGAGGAACAGCTAGAAAGACCCTGGAGGCGAGGACCAGCCCTTGTTAGTGTGGCCAGCTTTGTGACTTCCTCCGCGCCACTGCACAGACAAGTTCTGGATAGGAAAACACTGTTGGACTGGGAAATGTTGAGGGGTCAGGAACAGGTGCTTATTTAAGGGGATGAGAAAATCAGGTTTAAGTAACTGGTAACAGAACTGTTGGGCTGGCTAATGTAGGGAGAAGTATTGGAGTAGGTGTTAGACCCTGTAGGTTCAAATCCTACATCTGCCTCACATAGGCTTTATGACCTTGAGGTAGTCACTTGCCCATCTATTAAAATAGGGATGGCAATAGCTGCTTGGTTTACCTCACAAGGTCAATCCGAAAATCTATTAAAGTGCTATTTGTGAAATAATCTTTATCTGGTGACAACCAGTAAGCAAGTGGTAGCCCAGTGAATTCTCACTTTCCTCTTTGCTTGTGTAATCATATGGTGTGGTTATTGCCCTGGAAAGGGGGCTTGAAGGGGGTGGGAGGGCAAGTCTGAAGTGGAAGGATCCGAAGTGGATGACCGATCATCTCAGGAAAGATAACAGGTCTTGGAAACACGTGCCATGTTGATGTCATGGATGGTTTCTGGGAGGAGGCAGGGTAAATGTTTTGAGTTTATAGCAAAATGGGTATTAGACCTGTCCTTTCCTTTCTTTTTTTTTTTTTTTTTTTTTTGAGGATTTTTTCACTCAATCACATCTTTAGGGACTATAAATATTGGTGCCTTTGAACTGTTACTTGAGACACATCTTTCTTTTAATTTTATTTATTTATCTGGAGAGGTTTTTGCTATAGGGCGCGTGTGCTTGTCAGAAAGAGAGACAGAGAGACAGAAAGCGAGAAATCACCCCCTCACAGGAGATTGCCACACCGCAATCCCTCTCCATTCTCCTCTTGGGATCTTGGGCATGCATGCACACGCGCCCAGCGTGAGTTTAAGCCACCAGGTCTGGGACTCGAACCACAGTTGACCACATGGGAGTCCAGTGACGTAGCCATTGCCAACTGCTGGTCCTGACTCTGTCCTTTCCTTTTGGCAAATAGTTTGGTACTAGAGCATCCAGACTTCCTTCTTTGCTTGCTCAGACACAAAAGGAACAATAGCTAAAATTAAAATAATCTTTCGATATCTAATCCTTTTAAGGCTTGCTAAATGTAGTTAGTCTCTGTTTGAGATACAAAGGGGAACATAGTAGGCAATATGTTTGTCCCGTGGAGCTTACAATCTGGTGGTAGGGATGGTAGTGATGGGAGAATAATGGTTTTTAATCAAATAATCACAAAAAGTATAAACTATGATTAAGTGTGTTGAAAGAAGGATAGGTAGTGCTCTGAGTGTGTGTAACAGTGGTACCAAACTTGGTCTCAAATCAGGAAGGTTTTTCTAAGAAAGAAAATTTGGGCAAAGATATAAAGGATGATTAAATATCAGCTTTGTTCATTTTTTGGAATGAGGGAAGAGGGTGATCAAAGGATTTTGGAGACAAAGAGAACAGCATATACAAAAATCCTGTGGCAGAAGGGGGCACTTCTGGTTAGAAAACCCAAAAGGTCAGTGCGGTGGAGCCACAGAAAGCAATGAGGGGAACAGCGTGAGGTGTATTAGTCCCTCCTAGGACTGCCTCTACTCCACTCTCACACCATGCACCACTACTCTGGCTTTGTTTCTGTTTCTTCAATATGGCAAACTCATTCTACCCCAGGAACTTTGTCTTCTTGTTTCCTCTGCTTAAGACACTCTTCTTATCCAGATTCTCATGACTCAACTTAAATGTCACCTCCTCAGAATGGCTTTGTCTGATCCTCATTCCCAGTCACTCTATTTCATATGATCATGCTTTATTTTATTTATAGTACGTACACTTTACATGACACATGCTTGTTTGATTTTTTGTTTTTTTTCGAGTGGAAGCTTCATGAAGGCAGGGAACAGGCAGAAAATCTTATCTAGCACAGTGTCTGTTATATTATAAAACTGGTGTTCAATTGCAAGAGTAAATGAATGACTGTCCCGAATTCCAAGCCAAGGTTTCTCTCTTTAAGGAGCCCATGGTTAGGACCAGCAGGTGGTGTAGTGGTTGAGGTGCTGGATTCCCACATGGTCCACTGTGGTTGAGTCCTAGACCTGGCATCTTGAAACTCAAGTGTGTGTGCGTGTGCCCAAAATCCCAGGAGGAGAATGGAGGAGAAGGAATTGTGATGTGGTCATTGGGGATTGATTTCTCACTTTCCCTCTCACTGTTTCACTGTTTCTCCAGTGAGCACACACACACACACACACCCTATGGCAAAAACCTAAAAAAAAAAAAAAAAAGAGCTCATGGTCAAGATAGGATTAGTATAGAGCGACAGATGCCATTACTTAATTACACAAAAGCACTTCCTTCTGTGCTGCTGTGTTTTTGTTCAGGGGTTCAAGATGGAAAATCCTCCCCTTTCTCTGCCTAAAAAATCCATTTTAACCTTCAAGGTCTGGCTCCATATCACTCTATCAAAATCAGTCACTCAGTCTGCTCTACTCTAACACCTACCATGTGCTGTCACATCTCCCACCCTTTACTTGTAGAACTTCTATTCTTCTCTGCTGCTCTCCTGACAACTTCATTTGTTATTGGTGTTGAGTTAACTTTTACTGAGTGCTTGCCATATGCCAGACCCTGTGCTAAGTGTTTTCTATACATGATTCCACTTAATTCTCTCTGTAACCTGAGGATTATGTACCTCAATTATCCCCATTTTCTACACGAGGAAACTGAGTTGTAGAGAGGTTAAATAATGTCTAATCAATGGCCACGGCTCTGCCAATTCCAGAGTTGCCTCTCTCCAGAGGATGTGCCCTTAATCACTGTGCAACACTGTGCAGCATGTGTCTTTGACACCTAGATCAGTGCTTGGGAAGATATGTGTGGCAATGTGTACAAAGAAGGTTAGAGTGAGAAGAGACTGGAACAAGGGAGAACAGTTAGGAGGTCATTGGTGTCATGTAGTATGACTTAATGAAGGCTTGAGTTACTCATTTTGATGGATCTCTGGAGGTAGTTAATGAAATGTTAAGAGCTGATGAACTCTTAAAGGGGTGAGGGATAACAGAAGAAGAAGACCAGAAAGATTCAGGGAAAAAACTACCTTGCACTAGAACTGGGAATTTTGTAATTTCTCAATTCTGCTGATCAGGACTTTCAGAGCCAACCAGAAAAAAGCACTAAAGGAGAAAGCTGGTGGGGTGGGGACCGTCAGCATTTGTACCAACTGGCACTAGGAACTGAAGAGAGATTCAGGGAGGTGGAAGTTGCAGA